ATATAAGAATGAGCCAGCATCATTTCTAACAAGTAATGCAGGATGTGAAGAGATGATCCATGTAGCCAAACATTTTTATACTCTAAAGATTATTTTCAGTGTCTACTCAGGGCATTTAGAACATTTTGAGTGATTGCACTCAGTATAGTCAAAAACCAGCCAGCAATATGAAAATCTTGTGACTTTATTTTCCTTTCTATTTTTTCAATAAATCCATAGATTTTGCATATATAACCACAATTGGTACGTGAAGCTTATTGGTATATGAAGCTGATTATATGCCTTGAAGTAAATTAAATATTGTACACCAAATGCCGTAAGCTTTGTGCCCACAATAGGTGAAATTGTGAAGCAAGTAAAGCTCATTCATGGGGACATCTCATCTTAAGCTTCATGTTTGGGTAGTGAGACTATGACTGTCTTTCCCTGCTATTCTCCCTCACTTCTCTATCAAAAAATCCATCTCTTGGGGCTAGGGATTTAGCTCAGTGGCTCCTGAGTTCGATCCCCAGTACCGACAAAAAAAAAAAAAAAAAAAAAATCCATCTCTTACTGCTCTATCTCAGCTTCAGAGAGAGAAGTAGCTGGAAGAGCAAGACACACAGAATTATTAGTAGTTGAAAACAACTTAATAAGGGTACTGCTAGGAGTATCTATAATCCTAAAACAGGATGACTACCCAGAGAATCATAAGCTCATCTTGAAGTAATATTTCCCTATCGACAGAGTCACAGACATGTAGCTGCTGGGTATTACAATGTCCTCTCATCATGCCACAGTAATGACCACCTATTCTGACTCACTCCCATTTAGTTATTTTTTTTCTTGGTTTGTTTTTTGGGTTTGTTTTTGGTACCAGAGATCGAACTCAGGACCTTGTGCTTGCCAGGCAGGCGCAGCACCACTGAGCTACATCCCCAGGACTCTCATTTAGTTTTCAAAGTAAAGGCTAGAAAAGTATTAGAGATGATGTAAGCACATGGATTGTCATGGTGAAGTCTTCAAATAGGGAAAAATGCTTTATGGAGAGAGAGAGAGAGAGAGAACATTTTTCAGGCATTGTCAATGGCTAAATACAAAGATTTTTTTTAAGAATTTACATTCTACAGACATATAAAAGTTTGGAGATGCCAGGGATTTAGCTCAGTGGTTCTGCCACCTGCCTCACAAGCGCAAGGTCCAAGTTCGATCCCCAGTACCAAAAAAAAAGTTTGGAGAGGCTGTACCCCATAAATATGTACAATTGTTATGTGTCAATTTAAAAACTTTTAGTCTTAATATTTAAAGAGGAACTCGTTGGAATCTTCCAAGAATATTTATTTTAGTATATTGAGTCGATTATTCTTATCCTCAGTTAGAAGGGATTTGCCTTTTTCCCTCTAACAGCATGCTCTGTGTGTGAATCAGTGGAAAAGAAAGGTGAGTCCCTCAGTGGTATTAAGGTACATACACACATATATCAGGAAACATCAGGTAAAACTTTAATAAGATTTAGTTTTACTTTGTGATATTTTAAATTTTTTATTATGTACTGTACATGTTTACAGTATGTAATTACTGCATTCATAGTGAGGAATTGGTACATGGACATAACACATCTCAATTCTTTTTTTTTTTCTCCTTCCCCTCTACCTCCTTTAAAAAAATTCTGTTTGCTAGCATGAGATTAACTTTATAAGTCCATATCAAGTTAATTATCATAAAAACAGATTAACAGCCAGACTAACAGGTAAAAAAAATTTTAAAATATATAAGACAATTATAGTAAATCAAAATACATTTTTAGATATATTGTCCATGCTGAATTACAATAACATTTTTTCTCTCTTTTTTTCCATTGTCTCTTATTTTGAACTTTAATTACATATTGGGCTTCTTGTATAAGAAAAATCATGCAGTATTCAAGCTCATGTGTCTGATTTGCTTTACTTAACATTATGGTCTCAAGGTGTATCCATTTTCCCACAAATGACTTGAGTTTATCCTTCTTTATGGGAGAGTAATACTCAATTGTGTATAAATACCATTTTCTTTATCCATTTGTCTGTTGATGGACATACATTCTTTCTACAGCAAAATACCTACAAAGCCTATTCTTTATGATTTTAATAAATCTACCTCTAAATGTCAGTAACTTTCAATCAATTTTGGTAATAGGTATGACTCAGAGACGTTCACTTTAAAAATTGCCACCTCACACAATCTTCCTGGCCTATTATGAAATATGTAAGAAATTACCACACTGGCCCACAGAGGTTCCAGAAAAATATAGTGCAGAGCCAGGGATTTAGTTGTGGCACCACACCTGCCTTGCAAATGCAAGGTCCTGAGTTTGATCCCCAATACCAAAAAAAAAATATATATATATATATATATAAAATGCAGAGGGTAAAGTATGTTTTAAATTTTAAATTAGGCTGTGGGAAAGTTTCAAAACACAAATAGTAGGTCTATTGGTATGCATTGCTGATAAATGTTGATAGCTAGCATATGAGCTCAGTTTAGTTTAAAATGCCAACAGTGTTCCCTTAAATATTCTTGAAATATAGTGATTATTTCCATTCTCCTTCTGATGGAAATCATTTGTTTTTAATTTAGGAATACCTTGCTGAGTCAAATGATCATGCTATTGCACTAAATCTTTGAGACGATCCACTGATATCAATAGCTAAGATATAAAGGAACCATCAAAATTATCTCAATGCCAAAAAATATTCAAGTAGGGGCTGGGGATTTAGCTCAGTGGTTCTGCTGCCTGCCTTGCAAGCGCAAGGTCCTGAGTTCAATCCCCGGTACCAAAACAAAAATTCAGGTAAGGAAATGGAGACTCAGTCTTGCTTTTGCCTCAATAATGTGATGAGTGCATCAGAAGTCACATGAGAAATGGAAATATCTCTATCAAGGCATGTCCAAAAGGTCATCAGGGACTTTTCTGGACAAAATGTTAGCTTTCTCTATTCTTGTTTCTTTCTACTTTTTGTATGATTGGTCATAATCTCTTCTCCTACCAGGAATGTAAAAGGTAGTTTTTCTTGATATTTTAGCCTCTCCAAGTGCATTTCCTTTTCACAAGACTTAGTGTGGTATGGCCTCAGGTAGATGAGACTTATATAAGCCCTAATGATAGATTCCTGCCTCGGGAGCACAAAAGGATAGTAAGTGAATGGCCCAAACTGAAACCTCTTTGAAAAGATATCAAGAGAATGCTGCAAAAGAGGGTTAGGTAGATACTAAGAACTCCCTAACTATAAGAGCAAGCATTATGAAGAAAGATGATAGATGCTCAAATTATAAGTGTGGCCTATCATTTTTCCTTAGAGTAGCATTTTGCAAAATGATATTAGTAAGTGTCATTTAAGAAAAGGGTCTCCTGGGCCAGGGATTTGGCTCAGTGGTTTCACCGCCTGCTGAGCAGGTGCAGGGACCCGAGTTCGATCCCCGGGACCAAAAAAAAAAGAAAAGAGTCTATTGATCCAATACTTTTAGCAATGCTGGGTCATTGCAGGACTTCCCAGAGCTTCTCCCCTTCCTCCAGTGCTGAGAATCAAACCCAGCATCTCATGCATTTCTAGGCAAGCCCTCTACCTCTGAGCTATGCCCCCAATCCTTCCCAGTGCATATGCATTCATTTTCTCTCTCTCTCTCTCTCTCTCTCTCTCCCTCGCTCTCGCTCTCGCTCTCTCTCCAGTGCTGGGACTGAAATGGTCTGGTGCATGCTAAGCAAGCACTTCACCACTGAGCTACAGCCTTGCCCCCTTTTAATTTTTGAGATAAGATTTTGCTAGGTTGCCCAAGCTGGCCTTGAATTTGGGATTGTCCTGCCTCAGCCTCCCAAGTAGCTGAGATTAGTGTTTGCCACTGTATCTGGCTCTCAGAGTTTTTAATATACTAGTGCATATTGTGAATCTCCAAAGTAGATATGGTATTTCCCAACCCAGGATCCTTTTACAGAGCATATTTTGTAGTACTAAAGTTGTACGAGATGCACTCTTGGATACAGTAAAGAAAAGTGTAAGCAGTTCTTAAATTGTAGGAATATATTTCAGGAGCCCTTAGATCCTCTCATAGGATTCTAACACTTTTACTGGTGTTTCTGGAGGATTTCATCAAAGCTCCCTTTTCAAATACCTGCTTGCTATATTTTAGGGAGAAATCTAGTAGTTTTTGAGAGTTGCTTGTTTTTTAGTTCTCTCATTCAAAATTAAAAGATTTATCTTCTTCCCTGACTTCTAGCCCCTTGTCACACTTTCACATGTCTCATACAAGTCATTACTACTTGTTTGAAGTACAGAACATTCTGTGTTAACATTCCATCACTGTAATGAAATACTTGAGAATAACAACTTAAAGAGGGAAGGATTTCAGAGGTTCCAGGCTGTGGTGAGCTGGTTCCATTGCTTTTAGGTCTGTGATGAGGCAGAAACATGGCAGAAAGGCTTGGTGGAAGAAAGGTGCTCACCTCATGGTAACCAGGAAACAGAGAGAAGTAAAAGAGCAAAGAGGAAGGGAAAAGATTCAGTCCCAAGGTCATGATGCCCCTATGACTCACTCCCTTCCGCTAGTCTCCGCCTCCAAAACCTCCATCACTTCCAACGAAGGCCATCAAACTGCAAATCAGGGGGAGGCATCAGTGAAACAATAAAGGTTTTCCAAGATTTAGGGACCTGAGTTTTCAGAATGGAAGGTTTCAGTACAATAGATGAAAATAGACACATGCTAAGGCACATTGTCATAGAACTGCAGAACACTGGGCCCAACATTAGGAAAAGTTCAAGTTCCTACAAACTTTAGAGAGAGAAGGCAGGTCACATTAAAAAAAAAAGAAAGAATAGGAATCAGACTGACTTCAGGGTAAAAAACTACAGTGGAAGCTAAACTAAGAGGCAATGGAGAAATGATTTCAGAATTCTGAGAGGACTCTGTATCTGGTCACATTGTTATTCTAATATAAGGGCATCATTCAAGATTTCCAAGTGTAAACTCATGTGTCTTTTTTTTAGGAAGCTGCTTGAAGTCATGCTGCCAACATACACACATCCACACACACAAAGGCATAAATGAGTAGAGAAGACATGAGCTACAAGAAACAGCTGTACCTGTGAAGAAAGACACAGGAAATACCTAGGAAGATGGTGAGGAGAGACCCCAAGATCGTCTCTGAAGTGGATACTGAGGACAAACAGACTAAACTGGACAGGGCAGGAGGTTGTAGGAGAGACTCCCCCACCCCACCCCCAGGAAAATAAAATTGACAGAAAAGCTCATAGAAATGAACTTCCTCAAAGAAGGCAACTGGCAGAGAATTTGAGGTTGAATTATTAAGAATTACGTGGAAAATAGAGGGTAGAAACATAAAGGATGATGTGGAGATGATGTGGAGACTTGCAGTAGTGCTCACTCATACCTGAATGGTTCTTTTCTTCTGGATAAATGGGAGGAATATATTCCTGTTCTCTCTCTCTCTCTCTCTCTCTCTCTCTCTCTCTCTCTCTCTCTCTCTCTCTGATACCAGGTATCAAACTCAGGCCCTTGCGCTTGCCAGGCAGACGCAACACCACTGAGCTACATCCCCAGCCCTGTTTCTGTTCTCTCGAACTCAGACACAATCATGTGACTAGTTCTGTCCAGTGAATTTGAGAAGTTAAATGTGGTAGTTTTAAAACACAACCAAATTCTTTAACATTCTTCCTGTGGTTTGTTACTATAGTATAGCCTCTTCTGTCTTGACTAATATGCAAAATAATTAGCTCTAAGGAAAATGAAAAGTTGTGCAGGAACAAAAATGAAGTCACAGTTCACTCTAGGGCTCAACAATGAAAAGAATTTGCAGTCAGAGTAACATAAATGCTAAGAAATGAACTCACAAAAATTATAGTATAATGATATTGGCAACTTGAAGGAGTAGGAAACAGGAATGCAAAGTAAATACACAGGTTACTTTGTTAAAAACTCAACTCAGAGAGAGAAACTCCATCTTTTCAACTCCTTGAAAATAAAAGCTGAATAACTGTTCAGAGTTAGAGTGAGAGAAAAAACCATAAACATCAATCATACATTCCAGGATGTGGAGAGATCAGTGAAATCATATGAAACAGAGGAGTCTAGAGAAAGCCATATGAAAGCAGACAGAACTCACAGAAATGATGGGAGAATTATAACCCAAGAAAATGTATTCTTTAATTATGTCAGATTATATAATCCTTAGGTTATGTGGAAAATAAAGTAATCTTAAGAAGCTGGAATTGTCTCATTATTGTTCTACAAGGGAAGCTAGACAGCACTGGAATAAGTGCTGGAGTCTTATATTTTCTGGTACCATACCAAATAGAAAATAAACATTATTTCATTATTGCTTTGAGGACAATTAATGAAGCTAGAAACATTTCTCATTAATTTCCAAATAAACTATTCTGATTTTCACGTATCACTTGTTCTACATTACAAAATCCACTAAAAAGTACAATTTGAATTACTATCAATTTAAAGCTTTTATTTTGTTTTTGTTGTTTGTCTTTTTGAGACAAGAGTCTCACTATATTTGTCCAAGCTGAATTTAAACATGAAATCCTCCTGCCTCAGCCTCCCAAGTAGCTGAGATTATGGGTGTGTGCCACCACACTACTAATTTGAATACTACCAATATAAAAATAGCATTCTCTAGAAAATATAGATAAAAATACAGATGTGTCTGTGTGTCAAGGATTCAGCCCATTCTTTTTGACTATATAAATCCCTACTATAAATATTGAAAGGAAATAAGCTTTTTTTAATTTCTCTTTTATTCTCCCATTTCCTCAGCATTTAAATGCTCCCAGGGCACAACCTAACAGGTTATTAACTTACTAATTGACTTATTCATTTACAAACATTCATAGAACTTGGGAGTACCTAGTTTTAAACATAAGGGACACAACATACAACAACAAATACACATCGCCGCCTGCTGCGCAAGTGCAAGGACCCGAGTTCGATCCCCGGTACCAAAAAAAACCAAATATACAGACAAAAATCCTTGCTCTCCTGAAGTTTATCTTCAAAAAGCTGGAAAAAAATTATATAGGCTGTCAGAATGTGTTAACTGCTACCAAGAAAAATAAAATATAAAACACGAATAGAGTGGTGGGATGGTAAGGCATCACTGTCAGAAAATGATGATCAGTCTTGAAAATAAGAGGTGGCCACAAGGAAATTGATTCACATTCAGACCTGATTTTTATGAAAAGACCCTGGAATTATACCAATAAAAGGAATTTAAATGTTGTGTGGATAACAAAAAAAGGCCATCCTAATTTAAAGGGGTCAAGTTTTAAGATCTTAGGCAAGGACAGGGACTTTTATTCAGTAATAATGAAAGAGTGGGGAGACGTGTGTTTTAGTCTCTTGAAGTCAGTCCCAATAGCCAGCATTACTAAGCAAGAGAAGCAGGTAAATAAAGCATCCACACAATGACTATTCCCAGAAGGGCAGAAGGAATGTAAAACCATGGTGAAAAGAGGCACTCACAAGGCTAGTGCATTCACAGACCACTGGCTGCCAGTAGCCTTTGGCATCAAAGTGTTTCTATCCTTTAAATAACTATTTGACTTTTGGCAAAGCCACAAGAAGGGCATTTCCAGGATGGAACATCTGGTTCAATTTACCTTAGCAAGTGCTTGATATTTTGTTGCTTTCTAAAGAGACTTATGTATATTCCAACAAAGATCATAATAACATATAAGAGCCATATCATCTTGCCACTTAACATTTTATACATAGGTACAGTGGACCTTGGAGCTACAACTGGCCTGACTTACGAACAACTTGGATTATGACCAGAATACACTAGGAAAATTATTGGTGTTTCTGGTAAATTGCACACATTATACAACCCTTCTTTTATTATTAAAAGGGTAGTTAATGGGTGCTTTGGGAGGTTCAGAACACATTACGTGTATTTCCATTATTTCTTATGGGAAAAGTAGTCTTGACTAACAACCAACTCAAGTTACAACCAGCCTTCACAAATGAATTGAGTTCTCAAGTCAAGGGTCCAATGCAACTACACCAGGTAATCTTGAGCACTCCAGGGCCCACGGAATTTTATCCTTCAGATGACCACAGCACCTTGTTCCCAGTGCCTTCCAGAAAACTAGATAACTTTTTGAGATATCATTTATGTTTTTTAGATAATTATGTCATTTGTGTCAAAAAGACTCCCAATTCTCCAAAGAAATGACTGCATAGTCATATATTAAATAATTCTTTGCAAATATAAGCAAACTCTGCTGCTGCTGTCTGACAATCATTTGTCCATTATTTCAGGAAAAAAATTGAAGGGAGGAAAATGAAATGGCTACAACTTTTTTCTGTAAAGGTGCCCATTTTTCTTTTCTGTTATTGCAAAACAAATACAAGTATAAGAATGAAATTTTTGGATGAATAAAGAAAATACTGTACATGCATACAATGAAATATTCAGCCATAAAAACATAGGCAAACCAGGCATGCTGATGCTCACCTCTGATCCCAGTACTCCAGGGGCTGAGGCAGGAAGTTTGCTGAGAGTTCAAGGCCAGCCTAGGCTACATAGTGAGTTCAAGGCCAGCCTGAACTTGTCTCAAAAATAAATAAGAAGTCTTGTCATACACAGAAATGTGGATGAACCCTTAAGGATGTTGTGGTAAGTGAAATAAGCCAGTCAGAAGAACAGATACTGCATGATTCCACTAAATGAGGTGTCTAAGTAGTCTGACTTATGGAAGCAGAAAGTAGAATGATGGTTGTCAAGGAATGGAAGACAGATATTGGGAGTTGCTGTTGAATGGATGTAGAGTGTTAGTCATGAAAGATGAGAGATTTCTAGAGATCTGCTGTATAGCATGGTACTTGTAATTAACAGTATTAAACATTTGTTAAGAAGGCCAGGAATGGTAGTGTACATCTGTAATCCAGCACTCAGGAAGCTGAGGCAAGAGGATCACTGTGAGTTCAAGGCCAGCCTGGAATGCATAGCAAAACTTTGTCATGGGGCTGGGGATTTAGCTCAGTGGTTCCAGTGCCTGCTTTGCAAGCACAAGGTCCTGAGTTCAATCCCCGGTACTCAAAAAAAAAAAAACCAAAACTTTGTCTTAAAACACTTTTTAAAATGAGAAGATAGTGGTTTCGCCGCCTGCTGTGCAAGCACAAGGACCTGAGTTCGATCCCTGGTACCAAAAAAAAGAGATGATAGACCCCTGCAGGTGCACAGGAGGTGAGCTGCTCCCAGCACACAAGAGGAGGCTTCCAGGCCGCCATACCACCCCCACCAGCACACAGGAGGTGAGCCTCATGGGCGACAGCAGCAACCCCCCCCAACCCCCATCAAAATGAGAAAACACGTAAATAAGTCTCAAAACCAGACTTCCAGATCACCTACAGCAACCCCAAAGGGAAATGAGATGGAACACTCTGATACT